GTTAGCCGCAAGCAAGTCAAGTGCCCTACCTGCTATATTGTTTCTCTTTTTGCTAATAAATTTGACTACTTAGATTAAGTGAACAAATTTCTTGAGACACACACTATGAGAGCTGGAACAGGAAAAGAAAAAATCTGGATGGCCCCTCAGGTATTAAGGAAATTAAATCTTAGACTAGAGAAATAGCTTAAACAGCTGGAGCACATGCCTGGCATGTACAAGACACTGGATCTGACCTATAGCACTTCCAGAAATAGCTCTAGTGACTTCCAGCATCACAAAGAAACTGAATTTCCAACTAAAAATCTTCCACAAACAACACTCAGACTCAGACTACTTGACTGCAGGATTCCAGCTCACACTTAAGGATGGGGTCAGAGAGCAAACTCAGCAGTATGGGCTGCCTGCTTTGCACGTAGACCAAGCTGGTGTGACCCCTGGCTCTACACAGTCCCTGAGCACTGCCAGGAGTATCTCAGAAATGGGCTCTGAAAACTATGCTGGGTGTGACCCATAAACCAAAACAGAACATGTAACAAAAAGTTAAGGATTAAGCGGTACTAATTCTACCTAAGCCATTTCAGAAAACAAGAGACTGAAGCATTCACAACTCCCTAGGCAGAGCCGTGGCTGGCCAAATTAGCACCTTTCTGTCTTGCCAGGGAAGGTATCCTGGATAGACTTGTGTAACAGGACTTGCAGTCAATGTGGACCAGTGTGCCTTCTCTGAGTAGCAATTGTACAATGTCTCACTCTGAAGATTCTATCACTTGGTCAATCACTGCACCGTGGGGAGGCCTTTGTCTTCCCCTCGGTCCAGTAGTGTTGAGGGCCTCCTTTCCCCTGGAGAGATGTCCACCACAGCACCCTGTCATTGCTTTAGACTGAGCAGGGCATATAAGCCTCCTGATAAGAGCCTGGCGAAGATGCTACACAAGGTCCCTCACAAACAAACTCCAACCCATTGGTTGTGCTCAGTGACAAGAGAACCAACCCAGCGATCAGGGACTTCAACAGAGCCCTCCTTCGCTCTGGGATCCCGCAGCACTGGCAGCTTCCCAATCGCCAAGTCAGAGGGGCACAACAGTGTTCCCAAGTGCAGCGCAAAGTGTAGAGGAGCATCAAGAGTTCTGCCTCCTCTGTGGAAGGGAACGCAAGACAGAAACTCCTCCTCAATGCAAAGATGATGCCCGACAAACAGCATCCCTGAAATGTCACATGATAGGCTGCAGAACTTGTGGACCATGAAGAAGAACTGCCCCTTCAGTATGTCTGCTTAACACAGTGGTAGTAGTTGTCTGGGCAATGTCCAGACCACCCAGGTGACTCAGACTGTGCTGTGACAGGCAGAGAGTGAATCTATTTGGTTGTCCTTCCCACACAAATATGAAAAACTTTTGAAAATCACTCTTTACATGGACAAAGTGATAGCACAGCAGGTAGGACACTTACCTTGCACTCAGCTGACCTGGGTTTGGTTCCTGACAACCCATATAGCCTCCCGGAGCCCACCAGGAGTAATCCCTCAGCTCAGAGCCAGGAGTAAGCCCTGAGCACCTCTAGGTGTGGCCCCAAAAAACAACAAAAAAGATCACTCTTTGCTTCTGAAAAGAATCAGAATGTTTACTGTAGGATAACATTGGTTTGTCCTTTCTCCCTGGCCGCAGAGAGCTTAGGTTTTTTCAGTTTATTAGCTCCCACTGCTCTGCATTTATCTTTAACCTCTCCTCTGTGCTCTACTTCCCCAACCGGTTAATCACTTTTTTTTTTTTTTGCTTTTTGGGTCACACCTGGCAATGCACAGGGGTTACTCCTGACTCATGCACTCAGGAATTACTTCTGGCGGTGCTCAGGGGACCATATGGGGTGCTGGAAATCGAACCTGGGTCGGCCGCGTGCAAGGCAAACGCCCTATATGCTGCTGTTCTATCACTCCAGCCCCTGGCTTAATCACCTTTATCCCCAAATCATACCCTGACTTGTAAGGTCAGATTCTTCTAAGAACTCTGAATTCTGTATTTGTAAGTAAATATCACTTTTATCTTTCCCTTATGTTTCTTAAATAGTTTACTTTTGAGCAACGTCCTTTTTGTATAGAAACAGGAAGACAGTTAATGTTATACTTTGTAACTTGGGAGTAAACTGACTGAATAATATTTACTCCTGAGTATGTCATATTTACCCAACTTAAACCTCAACTGCCCTGAGTTCCTAGCAACCAAAAGCAGGATCTCAACAAAGGAACTGGATGGACCCAGGGCAAGCTGTGAGCTACCCTGGCACCAAAACAGTACAGGCCAAGTTCCGTAATGCTTAACTGAAATTTAAGAGCACAGTCATGGACAAATTCTGTCATGATCCAAAGAGAAACAACTGGACAAGGACTCTGCTTGGGGTTAGGAAGGGCTCATCTGGCCTGAGCACTGTAGTCTGAGATCTACAGCGAGATGTCCCCAGGAGGGCCACCTTCTAAGCTTAATGTGTCTCTTAGTGTGTCCATACAAAAAGACTAATATTATTAAGAATTATAATTAGCACGGGCTGGAGCGATAGCACAGCGGTTAGGGCATTTGCCTTACACGCAGCCAACATGGCCGACCCAAGTTTGATTCCTCTGCCCCTCTCAGAGAGCCTGGCAAGCTACCGAGAGTATCTCGCCCGCACGGCAAAGCCTGGCAAGCTACCCGTGACGTTATTCAATATGCCAAACACAGTAACAACAAGTCTCACAGTTTGTTGTGAGATGTTACTGCTGTCTGCTCGAGCAAATCGATGAACAACGGGAGGACAATGACAGTGATAATTAACACACATCCAAAAGAACAAAATCAAACGTGTTGGCGTGGATGTGGGGAGAAAGGAACCCTCCTTCACTGCTGGTGGGAATGCTGACTGGTTCAGCCCTTTTGGGAAAAAGTATGGACAACTCTCAAAAAATCAGAAATTTACGATGGATATTTGATCATTGTATAATTGAAATCCAAGCACAAAATTTGTAAGTCTACAACAGTACCTCATGCTGTATCAGTAATAAAAAATTTTTAAAAAATTAGAAATTGAGCTCCCATTTGACCATGCAATACCACTCCTGGGAATATATCCCAGAGAGGAAAAAAAAGTACAGTCGAAATGATATCTGCACTCATATGTTCATTGCAGCACTGTTTACAATAGCCAAAATCTGGAAAAAACCCAAGTGCCCAAGAACAGATGACTGGTTAAAGAAACTTTGGTACATCTACACAATGGAATACTATGCAGCTGTTAGAAAAGATGAAGTAATGAACTTTTCATGTAAGTGGATCAATGAGTCAAAAAAAGAGGCACAGACAGAATGATTGTACTCATCTGTGGAATATAAAGTAACAGAATGGGAGACTAGCACCCAAGAATAGTAGAGATAAGTACCAGGAGGTTTGCTCCATGGCTTGGAAGCTGGCCTCACATGCTAGAGGAAACAGCAGCTCAGATAGAGAAGGGAACACCAAGTAAAGTGTGGTTGGAGGACCCGCTTGGGATGGGAGATATGTCCAGAAAGTAGACTATAGATCGAACACGATGGCCATTCACTACCTCTATTGCAAACCACAACACCCAAAAAGAGAGAGAGAGGACAAAAGGGAATGCCCTGCCACAGAAGTAGGGTGGGGATGGGATGGTATGGGGGTGGGTGGGAGTGATACTGGGATCATTGGTGGTAACCCTATTGTACTGCCAGGCCTTCAAAAAACAAAACAGAATTGCATTATCCAGTATCAGGGGTGCACTGGTGGGTACCCACTTCACAAAGCTGGAATCCATCAGGACATTGCAGGGGCCACTGGTGTGAATGAAAAGGGTATAACAGTGAGGACCACATTCCGTCTGAGAGTAGGAGGTAGGTAAGATGCCATCTCACATGACACTCAGGAGAGGGGAGGGGAATTTCATGAGCTTCCTGCCATCACAATTCTTCTACTGGTCAGGGACCCAGGTGCAGGCTCTGCCTACTGCAGGGTGTAATAATTCCACACATGCACTGGGTGAGGATTCCATATCATCTGACCTCAGAAGCCCCAAACCTAGCCATTGGTCCTATGTCTAACTAGCCCAGACCATGTCTAACAGGCCTTGAACAGTGTGCACACTCCACTCTCCAAAGTGAATCAGTTACTTTGTCAAGTGGCTTTGGGTCCATTTGGGAAAGGACAGGAGGGACAGTATTGTGTGTGTTGATGTGACCTTCTTTGGAAGAACCAGTCCTTTCAGCCAGGGAGCTCTGGCGTTTTACCCCAAGCAATATTGTGGGCCAACAAGTGCTGACTGGGACGTCATCCTGGGGCAGAAACAGAAATGCACAAGGCGGGGTCAGAGCAATATTCCAGCGGGTAGGCAGCTTGCCTTGCACACAAGGTGATCCCAGTTCAATCCCTGGCATCCCTTGCGGTCCCCTGCGCACCACCCCGGCTGGCATCCCCACACCCTCTGTGGTAATTCCTGAGCGCAAAGCCAGGAGCAACCTCTGAGCATCACCGGGTGTGTCCCCTAAGAGCAAACAAACAAAAAGATTGAAGATGCATCGAAAGGGACCCCCACTACTGTCGGAACACCCCCAACCCCATCCCACGCCACCCCAGGATCTCCTACAAGGTCTGGGCCGCTCCCCTCCTGGGTCTGTAACAGGTTCCAGGTCTGAAGGTGGGAGAGGCAGCGGGCTGGGACAAGGGGTCACTCGTGTCCGGGGAGGTGCCCCCAACAGAGGCGGGGCTCTCCTCGAGGTGACTGGGTCTTTAAGTAACCGCTATGGCCTGTAGGCCCTGTTGGCACTCGCGCACCTCGGAGGTTTCTTCCGGGGCCGCTGGGGAGGAGCGCGGGGTGGGGCCGGCGCGCGGGGCCCGCGCCTCCAGCCGCCCCCGGGGCCTGCGCGGGCCCCTTGCGGGGCCGGCCCCTCCGGCCAGGGCGCCCGAGCGCTTCTCCCCGAGCCCGGGCGGGCCCCGACTGGCCGCGCCGTCCCCCGAGGCCGTCACCCGGAGCGCCGGAAGCGCAGCTCGCGGCGCCGGAAGCGCAGCCCGCGTGGCCGGAAGCAGCCGGGCGAGGCCGCGCGATGGCGACGGAGCAGACGGCCGGGAGCGGGGGCGAGGTCGCCGGCGGCCGCCTGGCCCCGGGGCGCCCTCAGCAGTGCCCGGCCGCGGCCCCGAGCCGGCGGCGCTTCTCGTCGCTTTCGCGTGACGCCGAACACCGAGCCCACCAGTGGTGCCGGGAGTACCTGGGCGGGGCCTGGCGCCGGGTGCCGCCCGAGGAGCTGCGGGTGCAGCCCGTGAGGTGGGGCCGGGGGCGGGGCCGGGGCGGGGCCTCGAGGGGGCGCTGGCGGCGCGGGAGGGGCTGGGGGCGGAGCCTTGGAGGGGCGCTGGCGGCGCGGATGGGCTGGGGCGGGGCCTCGATAGCATCCGAGGCGGGGCCTCGGGAGGATCTGGGGCGGGGCCACGGGGTTGCTGGAGGGCGCGGCCTCGGGAGGATCTGGGGCGGAGCCTCGAGGTGGAGCTGGAGGCGCGGGAGCGGCTGGGGCGGGGCCGTGAAGGAGCTGGCGGCGCGGAAGGGGCCAGGGGCGGGGCCTCGAGGGGGAGCTGGCGGGCGGGGCGGGGCATCGGGAGGATCTGGGGCGGGGCCTCGGGGTTGCTGGAGGGCGCGGCCTCGGAAGGATCTGGGGCGGAGCCTCGAGGTGGAGCTGGAGGCGCGGGAGGGGCTGGGGCGGGGCCGTGAAGGAGCTGGCGGCGCGGAAGGGGCCAGGGGCGGGGCCTCGAGGGGGAGCTGGCGGGCGGGGCGGGGCATCGGGAGGATCTGGGGCGGGGCCTCGGGGTTGCTGGAGGGCGCGGCCTCGGGAGGATCTGGGGCGGAGCCTCGAGGTGGAGCTGGAGGCGCGGGAGGGGCTGGGGCGGGGCCATGAAGGAGCTGGCGGCGCGGAAGGGGCCAGGGGCGGGGCCTCGAGGGGGAGCTGGCGGGCGGGGCGGGGCATCGGGAGGATCTGGGGCGGGGCCTCGGGGTTGCTGGAGGGCGCGGCCTCGGGAGGATCTGGGGCGGAGCCTCGAGGTGGAGCTGGAGGCGCGGGAGGAGCTGGGGCGGGGCCATGAAGGAGCTGGCGGCGCGGAAGGGGCTAGGGGCGGGGCCTCGAGGGGGAGCTGGCGGGCGGGGCGGGGCATCGGGAGGATCTGGGCCGGGGCCTCGGGGTTGCTGGAGGGCGCGGCCTCGGAAGGATCTGGGGCGGAGCCTCGAGGTGGAGCTGGAGGCGCGGGAGGGGCTGGGGCGGGGCCGTGAAGGAGCTGGCGGCGCGGAAGGGGCCAGGGGCGGGGCCTCGAGGGGGAGCTGGCGGGCGGGGCGGGGCATCGGGAGGATCTGGGGCGGGGCCTCGGGGTTGCTGGAGGGCGCGGCCTCGGGAGGATCTGGGGCGGAGCCTCGAGCTGGAGCTGGAGGCGCGGGAGGGGCTGGGGCGGGGCCATGAAGGAGCTGGCGGCGCGGAAGGGGCTAGGGGCGGGGCCTCAGGGGGAGCTGGCGGGCGGGGCGGGGCATCGGGAGGATCTGGGGCGGGGCCTCGGGGTTGCTGGAGGGCGCGGCCTCGGGAGGATCTTGGGTGGAGTCTCGAGCTGGCGGCGCGGATGGGGCTGGAGGCGGGGCCTCGAGGGGGAGCTGGCGGGGGGCACAGGGAGGGTCTGGGGCGGAGCCTCGAGGTGGAGCTGGCGGCGCGGGAGGGGCTGGCGGCGCGGGCGGGGCGGGGCATCGGGAGGACCTGGGGCGGGGCCTCGAGGGGAAACTGGCGGCGAGGGAGGGGCTGGGGCGGGGCCTGGGGGAGCTGGAGGGCGAGCCCCGGGGCGGGGCCTCGGACAGCTGGCGGCGGGGGTGGGGCTGGGGGCGGGGTCTCGAGGGGAAACTGGCAGCGCGGGGAGGGGTCTGATGCTGGGGGCGGGGCGCCTTCTGAGCATCCACTGTGGGTCCCCAGCGGAGGACTCAGTAACCTGCTGTTCCGCTGCTCGCTTCCTGACCACCTGCCCAGCGTTGGCGAGGAGCCCCGGGAGGTGCTGCTGCGGGTGTACGGGGCCATCCTACAGGTGAGGACGAGGCGAGGGCCTTGCTGGCCTTGCTTGTGCGAAGTGGAACATGCTAGACTCTGTGGGCCTCTGGGGTTTGCTCTGGACTGGCCTCCCACATCTCGGCTGGGCCCTGGAGGCTCTCCTGGCAGTACTCTGTCTGCCGGGGACAGAACTCAGAGGCGCCTGTGCTCTGGCCACTCTGGTCACGGCGCTGCGCCATGGTGGTGGACAGAGCACACGGCTGCCGTGGTATCGCAGCAGCACTCTGGGCCCTTGCTCCCCTCTTCCTTCAGGGTGTGGATTCCTTGGTTCTGGAGAGTGTGATGTTCGCCATCCTCGCAGAGCGGTCGCTGGGGCCCCAGCTCTACGGAGTCTTCCCGGAGGGGCGGCTGGAGCAGTATATCCCAGTACGAGCCTGGTCTGGCCCTGAAATCCCCCGGGCACCTCTTTCCCTCAGCCCCTGTGCCCCATCCTGTTGTGCGTCTTTACGTCTCTCACCCTAGCTAGAGGCCAGTCCCCAAGACCCTGACCTCCCCGCATTCCCCCACCCCTCCCCCCTCCTGCCCCAGCCCCCTCAACACCCTGATAGGTTCCTGGGTGCAGAGCCGGCCACTGAAAACGCGAGAGCTTCAAGAGCCAGTGTTGTCAGCCACCATTGCCACAAAGATGGCCCAGTTCCATGGCATGGAGATGCCTTTCACCAAGGAGCCCCACTGGCTGTTTGGGACCATGGAGCGGTGAGTCAGCCCCCGCCTGCGCTGAGCCCTCGCGCTGCCCAGGGCACCCTGCCCAGTGCTCCAGTGGGCGGTGTCTGTGCCTCACAGGCTCCCACGGCTGCCAGATGCATCACACTGCCGGAAACGGGCCCTTCTCTCAGTCTGGGACAGACAAGAGAGGGATGGGGAGGGAGCAACAGACAGGAACATTCCCTGTTTGGGGCCTTTCAGATACCTAAAGCAGATCCAGGACCTGCCTCCCACTGGCCTCCCCCAGATGAACCTGCTGGAGATGTACAGCCTCAAAGATGAAATGGGCCACCTCAGGTGAGGAAAACAGGATGGGGGAGCAGGAGGTGGTGCCAGGCCTCTGCGGTCCTCCCCAGGGACTGCTGTCGACCCAGGCTTCTGTCCCCCTGTAGGAAGCTGTTATCGTCCACCCCGTCCCCCGTGGTCTTCTGCCACAATGACATCCAGGAAGGTAGGAGAAAACACAGGCGTCTCCAGCCCGTGGTGAGGGAGGGCCTGTGGGCCCTGCAGTGACCCAGCCCTGTCCCCGTCCCCCAGGGAACATCTTGCTGCTCTTGGAGCCAAAAAGTGCCGACAACCTGATGTTAGTGGACTTTGAGTACAGCAGCTACAACTACAGGTGAGGATGCCAACAGCCCCTGCCGTCCGTCTCCATGTTGCCCTGACACACAGGCCAGACTTTCTCCCTGCCCCCAGCCCCACGAGGTCTTAAAGGACTGAGTGTCCTCCTCCTTCCCCAGGGGCTTTGACATTGGGAACCATTTCTGTGAGTGGGTTTATGATTACACTTACGAGGAGTGGCCTCACTACAGAGCACAGCCTGCAGACTACCCCAGCCGGGAACAGCAGGTAAGAGGTCAGAAGCCAGGGAGCAGGAGCTGGCTGGGCGTGGGGTGGGGCTGGGGGGACATCTAGAAAGAATGGGGAGAGACTGTGACCTGGGAAATAAATTCACACACCCCCCTCCTCCACCCCCCCCACTCCCCCATTCCTGATTCTCCTCTTATCTCAGCTCCATTTTATTCGCCATTACCTGGCAGAGGTTAAAAAAGGTGAGATCCTCTCCCAAGAAGAGCAGAGGAAACTGGAAGAAGATTTGCTGGTAGAAGTCAATCGGTGAGAAAAGATGGGGTGGCGGGGCAAGGCTAGGATACAGAGCGGGGGGGGCCTGAGGAAGCAGCAGCTAGTCAGACCCAGTACAACGTGGGGACCTGAGGCTGGCAGGGATGCACGGTTTGAGTGTAGAGCCAGGACAGGAAGCGGGAGAAACAGGACACGTGTTAAAGTATATGCATTCATGGTGCCAAACCCACTTCTGTCCCCAGCCCCATAGAGTCCGCCAGGCACCACGGGGAGCGGCCTCTGAGCACCACTGATGTGACACCCCTTTCAAAGTACAAAAGAATAAGGCAGGACAGGGCTTGGCAGAGGGAAGATCCTAGAGCTTAGTTGCTTGGGTAGCTTAGAGAAAGGGCCCGGGCCCTGGGCTCTGAACCCCCACTTTCCTTGCCCCTCAGGTATGCTCTGGCCTCCCATTTCTTTTGGGGACTCTGGTCCATCCTCCAGGCATCCATGTCCACCATAGAATTTGGTTACTTGGTGAGTGACTAGCCCGTGCAGTTGGGAGTGGGGTGGGGGTTCAGGGACACACCCAGGTCCTGGGGCGGGGTTGCCTGTCCCTGGCACCCTCACCCATGCATAGGATGGGTCCCCTCCCCAGGAATACGCCCAGTCTCGCTTCCAGTTCTACTTCAAGCAGAAGGGACAGCTGGCCAGCCACCACCCTTCGCCTTGACTGCAGCCTCCCACCTCCGCAGACTTCTCCAGCAGCCTCTAGGGCAGGACCTTGGAGGGAGGGAGAGAGCAGGAGGCTCTCCCTGGGGACTGGCTGGGCCTGGCCCCACCCCGCCCCACAGCACTGGGGCTAAGGCGCTGACCTCTCCCCGACTTTGCTCGGGTCGGCCCCTGGTGAGCGGGCAGCAGGCGGGCACTTCTGGACTGTTCACCTTCATGCAATAAACACGTTTCTCCCACTGTCTCCTGTGGTACTGCTGGGGGCAGTAGAAGGTGGCAGGGAGGGGTGCACATGGGCCAGTGGGTGACCCAGCTGCTGCTCCACCACCCCGCTGTGAACAGGGCCTCTGCCAGTTCTTGCACCTTCCCCAGCTCCTGCTTAGAAGTACTAAGTGCCAGAGGCCCTTCCGTGGGGGTCCGTCCAGAGAGGGTGGGGTGGGAGTTGGGGTAGGGGATGCCTGGAGCTGCCGGAGCCTGGGCGACGACATCAGCAGACAGGCCAAGCGGACACGCACGACCTTTGCTCTACATTTGGGCTATTTTTAGCTCCACTGCCCCCTGGATCCCCAGACCTTTGGGCACCGACTCCAGCACAAATCCAGCCCCCCACGCCCATTCCCAAAGGGGAGGGGGATTCTGGGCCCCGCCCCCTCCCGGGTTTTCTCGCCCCAAATTTGGGAGCAGGGATCAAGTTCCCGGGGAGGGCGGGGCGGTGGCCGGGCCTGAAGGACGTGGGGACACGGCCAGAGCGACTGGCCCCGCACGCGGGCGGACAGGAGTGAGCAGAGCCGTGAGTGGGGGCGGCGCAGGGCGACCCCACCAGCCCACCCAGCGCGGGAGCCCGCACCGCCGGGTGCCCAGGGGGCGGGGCGCGAGGGGCGCGGGTTCCGCGGCCGTTGGCCGGACCGGGGGCGCGGGTGGGCGGGCGCGGGCCGGGCGGGCGCGCGGCGCGCGGGGGGCGCACGAGCGGCGGGGCCAGCCGGAGCCTGCCGCGCCCCCTCTCGCGCCCCCTCGCAGGTGCCGGCCAACCCCCAGCATGGCGGAAGCTCATCAGGCCGTGGCCTTCCAGTTCACGGTGACCCCGGAGGGGGTGGACTTCCGGCTGAGTCGGGAGGCCCTGAAGCACATCTACCTGTCGGGCATCAACTCCTGGAAGAAGCGCCTGACTCGGATCAAGGTGCGCGCGGGGCTCCCGGCGGGGCCTGGCGGCGCCCCGCCGCGGCGGTGCAGGGACGGGCAGCGGGTGGGGGCTGCAGGAGGGCCCGCCGAGAGGGGAGACCGTCCAGCTGTTTCCCCTCCAGAATGGCGTCCTGCGGGGCGTGTACCCCGGCAGCCCCTCCAGCTGGCTGGTCGTCACCATGGCAACAGTGGGCTCCTCCTACTTCGACGTGGACGTCTCCTTCGGTCTGGTCTCTTGCATCCAGAGGTGGCTCCCCGAGACGGGGTGAGCAGCTGGGCCTGGAGACATTTAGGGGAGAGGGTCCCGGAGCTGGACAGCCACTGGAGGCTGGAGGGTGGCCCCCCGGGGTCCGTCCCTGTGCCCCATCCTCTGTGAGATGCTCCCGACCCGGATGGACCACAGCCCCCACACTGCAGAGCCAGCCTTTTCTTGGTGGCCTGGAGGGCGCTCTCTTAGCCCTCGTCCCCTTCCCACAGATTCAGCCCCTTGCAGGGGGACCAGACCCGGGAACTGGTCAGCATTGCCATCTTCTCCACGGGGCTGTGGATGACCGGCATCTTCTTCTTCCGCAAGTCACTGAAAGTGCTTCTGTCCTACCATGGTTGGATGTTTGAGATGCATGGCCGGACCAGTCGCTTCACCAAAGTCTGGGCTGTGAGCAGACCCAGGACACGGGCTGGGGCCGTGGTCTGATATCCCAAGTCACCCTGGTTTGGGCAGAGCTGGAGGGAGAGGCTGGCAAGGCCAGTACCTGCTTGGGGTATTTGTGCTAGTTCCGAGGATCCAGGTGTAGCAAATGCCTTCCCCCAGCCCTTGTCTCTGGCTCTTGTTTTGTGTCCCCAGATCTGTGTCCGCCTTCTGTCCAGCCGGAAGCCCATGCTCTACAGCTTTCAGTCGTCCCTGCCCAAGCTCCCTGTGCCCAAAGTGTCAGCCACGATTCAGCGGGTGAGGGCCTGTTTCAGGCAGACTCAAAGGGTCTCTCCAAACGAAGGGCCCCATCTCCTGCGAACAGCCAGCTAGAGGGAAGGGGCAGAGGGTCAGGACAGAGGCAGCTGACAGCAGAGCGCCTGGCTTTGCAGTACCTGGAGTCCGTGCGCCCCCTGTTGGATGATGAGGAATTTTACCGCATGGAGAAGCTGGCCAAGGAGTTCCAGGACAAGACTGCCAGCAAACTGCAGAGGTTTCTGATTCTCAAGTCCTGGTGGGCCACAAACTATGTGAGTTCCTTCTGGCTCCCCATGGCTGCCCGTGCCCCTGCCTTCCCTCAGCCCTCACCGGCCCCCTCTGACCCGCAGGTGAGCGACTGGTGGGAGGAGTACATCTACCTTCGAGGCCGGAGCCCCCTCATGGTGAACAGCAACTATTATGCCATGGTGAGTGCCCGTGTATGCTCCTGCGTACTGGCCTCTGTCACGGCCAGAGACCTGGGGGCAGATTCCACAGAAACTGGGGTTCTTCAGAGAGGGAGATTCTGGAATGGTTGGGAAGCAGCTGAGGGGTGACAGGGATGCTGAGAATCTGGAAAGTCCAGGAGCCCCCTTGCTGCTCTCAGGGCCCCCTGGGCTCAGTGAATGCCCAGCACAGGCCCTGGCACAGAGACTTCCTTCAGTACGCCTCCCTGTATTCATTCTGTGGGGCCAGAACAGCCCTGTGCACAGAGGGGTTGGCCCTGTCCCTCAGCCAGGTCACACAGAGTGCCAAAGCAGATGCCAAGCAGTGTGCTGTGTTCCTGTGTGAACCAGGGGTTCTGAATTTTCTTTCAAGTGAAGGAGCCCCCTTCTCAAAACAAATGCAAACACGAGCAAATAGAGTAGGTCATGGACAGGGAGGGGGGCAGAGGAGCGAGGGCTCTATGTCAGGCCTTTCCCTCTGCCAGCTCGCAGGAGACCTGAGGACAGGGACAGGAAACTGCGGGCTTCTGCAAGGGGACATAGCCGGGATGCTCCCTGCAGGCCCTGCTCTTCCTTTCTCCATAGGACTTTGTGCTCATCAGAAACACAGAGGTACAGGCCGCTCGCCTGGGTAACATTGTCCACGCCATGATCTTGTATCGCCGTAAACTGGATCGTGAAGAGATCAAGCCTGTGAGTTATGCTGGGGTTGAGGGTCTGTCGGGGAGAATGGGCTGTGTCTGAGCCATGCTGGGCTTCCTCCCCAGGTGATGGCGCTGGGCATCGTGCCCATGTGCTCCTACCAGATGGAGAGAATGTTCAACACCACTCGCGTCCCTGGCAAGGAGACAGGTGTGGGCCTGGGCAGGGGCCACGGAGCCAGTCATTCTCTGCGTCTCAGGGTTCCATCACAGTGAAAATTTGTTGGCACCTGAGCCAAGATGCCTGCTGTTTGATGCGCCACGCTAGTGCCATACCCCTCAGAGCCCAGAGCTGCCCCCAACTCCAGGGGCTCACAGTGGTGGGGAGGGGACTACTGCAAACTATCTGGGGACAGGGTTATGGAGCTGGCCTCGGGGCCTGGTGGGAGCCATTGGGACAGTCTCCGTCACTTCCAAGAAACACCTCCTGGGGTCCGGGGCAACAGTATAGCAGGTAGGGCATTTGCCTTGCCTCAGGTTCAGTTCACAGCACCCCATATGGGCCCCCACTCCTCTCCAGGAGTGATCCCTGCATACAGAGCCAGGAATCAGCCCTGAGCACTACCAGGCCTGGCCTCAAAACAAAAACCAAAACAATACAAAAAAGTAGCAGCTCCTGGGATCGTTGCTGTAGTCCAGACTCAGGAGCCCCCGACACAGGTACCCGTCAGTCCACCCCTGGGACCGAGTCCCTAGTATGGCCTGCAAAGCAGGGTCGACTAGTGCCAGGCCAGACATCCTCGGGGGGCTGGGGTGGGGGCCACCCCCACCTCAGTCTTGAACCCCACCGCAGACATCCTGCAGCACCTGACTGAGAGCAGGCACGTGGCCGTGTACCACAAGGGCCGCTTCTACAAGCTGTGGCTCTACAACGGCTCCCGCCTGCTCAAGCCCCGGGACCTGGAGATGCAGTTCCAGAGGATCCTAGATGACCCATCTCCACCCCAGCCTGGGGAGGAGAAGCTGGCTGCCCTCACTGCGGGGGGAAGGTACCAGCCCCCCAAGGAGAGAGGCTGGGGGCACGGCAAGGAAGGGCCCACAGAGTGTGAGGGGTGCTGGGGGGTGCCGCACTGTCTCTGCCTCCTTCCCCTTGGGTCGTGCTGCGTGGCCTTGCCGGAGGGAGGCCCTACCCAGGACAGCCTTGCCACTGCCCAGGGAAGCCAGCAGCTCACCCTGCCCTGTGCCCTCAGGGATCAGTGGGCACACGCACGCTGCAAGTTCTTCGGCTCAGGCAAGAACAGGGCGTCTCTGGATGCCATTGAGCGTGCTGCCTTCTTTGTGGCCCTGGATGAGGAATCTCACCAGTACAACCCCGAGGATGAGGCCAGTCTCAGCCTCTACGGCAAGGCCCTGCTGCACGGCAACTGTTACAACAGGTATGGCCAGTGCCCCCAGCCCCCGCCACCGCCCCACCCCGCAGCCCCTGAGTCATGGCTCCCCTCTCCTGCAGGTGGTTTGACAAGTCCTTCACTCTCGTCGCCTTTAAGAATGGCAAATTGGGCCTCAACACGGAGCACGCGTGGGCAGATGCCCCCATCATCGGGCACCTCTGGGAGGTAACGGGATTAGAAAGCAGCCCGGAGCGGGGCAAGCTGGGAGTGAGGGGACATAGCAGCAGTCTCACAGCCTGACCTTCTACCTGCAGTTTGTTCTATCCACTGATACCTTCCATCTGGGATATTCGGACACTGGGCACTGCTTGGGCAAACCTAATACCGTGCTGGCACCTCCCCAGCGGCTACAGTGGGACATCCCTGATGAGGTAGGCAGGGCCCTGTGACCCTTCACCATTACCTCCCTCCAGCCCAGCCCCACTCTGAGTGGTCTGGAGCATCTCATGGGGAGAAGAGAGACCCCACGCATCCAGTAGTTAGAGGCACATGCCCACAGACCCCCTTCCTACATCCCCTCCCCCATGAAACTCAGGCTGGCTTGGCTGGCCCATGTCTCTTGAGGCTTGCTGGGCCTTGCT